CACACACACACACACAAAGACATGGGCAAGGACAGACACACAAACCCACAGATCCTACCGACACGCTTTGAATCATACACTTCAGTCCCACCAGGCCTGAGGCCTGTCAAACAGAGGGAATGAAATATGTCTAAGTCTCAGTGCTTGCGCTTAAAACATATGATATCTCCGTCCTCTAAGACTTGACTTTTTGAGTGCATTGTAGTCACCACTGCCTTATACTGTTACAAAACCAAATGTTGTTCTTTGAGAAAATATTGTGATAGATTGATTTTTGTAGACCTTGCAGACATAAATGAATAGTTCACCAAAAAAAAAAGAAAACTCTATCATTTATCATTCTATCACACCCTCATGTCTTTCCAAACCTGTAGGACTTTATTTTATATGTGGGACACAAAATTTGAATAAGACAGGGACTGTGAAGGACCCAAAAAGCATCATAAAATTACCATAAAAGTGGATTCATGCACAGTATTTCAAGCCCTCTGAAGTCATATGATATTTTTTTTTTTTATGAGACATTAAACCATTAAACTAGCACAGCTACATTACTAAGTTCAGGGTCATTATTATTTTTATTTTTTTTTGCTGTTTTTGAAAGAAGCTTCTTATGCTTACTAAGGCTGCATTTATTTCACTAAAATACAGAAAAAAAATCGTAATATTGTGAAATATTGTTACAATTTAAAATTTGTATTTTAATATTAAAATTAGGGGTGTAACGGTATTCAAACCGAACTGAAAAAAACGCGATACGTGTGTGTGTCATCGGTAGCGCCTGCACACACGGAGAGCCGCGTCAGCGCATGCCATGCAAATATTGATTTCAAGACTTGCGTTTGAACTGACAAACTAACATAAAAAAAATTTGTCAACATGTCCGTCTTTGTGAGTATACTTGCAAACATCGTTGGTCATGTCTTAAGTGAACGCAAACAGTCGAGAAAGACAAACGCACTGTATCAGTATCAGTGTACTGGATCTGTGAATTATGTCTTAACGGAACAGCAGTCTATTCCTGCTGTCTGTGTTTTTAATGTTAAACAACAAAAGACAAGGAAATCACTCACTTCTCTTAATTGAATAGCTTTTGTAACTTCAACAAGGATTGGTCTTTAATTTATACAGTGAAATATGTGATGTTATTTTACACTTGTTTACTTTTAAATTTCTCTGCCTGAAAATGACTGTTAAACGCCTGAAAACACTGTTTATTTTATTTGTATCTTTGCTCTATTGTATATATTTGTACTGTTGCATTTAGATTATTTGTTATTATTTTCTTTATTTTTATTTGACCATAGTCCTTTTTTCCATGAACATAGCACCGTAAACCGTGAACCGAACCTTGAGCAATGTGAACCATTACACCCCTAATTAAAATGTAGTGTATTCCTGTGATGCAAAGCTGAATTTTTGTCATTACTCCAGTCTTCAATGTCACATGATTCTTCAGAAATCATTCTAATATAATGATTTGCTCCTCAAGAAACATTTCTTAATATCAATGTTGAAAACAGTTGTGCTGCTTAACATTTTTGTGAAATCCATAATACATTTTTGCAGGATTCTTTGATTAATAGAAAGTTCAAAAGAACAGCATTTATTTTTAAATATGATTTTTCTGTAATAATGTAAAAATGTTTACTGTCACTTTTGATGAATACATGTAATAATTAAAAAAAAAATAATAATGTAATCTGAACCCTTACTTTCGAATGGTAAAGTCGACAATCAATTATAAAGTTTCAGCGGTCATTAATATACAAATGTTTCACCGCAGAATGCTGTGATTGTCCGTTCAGAAGCAAGTATCTCAGAGAGTCATGTAATAATTGGATGCAACAAAAATGTCTTCACTGACTATCCAGGATAAAACACTGTAATTCAACTCTTATCAATTATATTGGTGACGAAAGAGCTTAAAAATCTTTTTTAGTGCGTTAGCAGGACATTTCAATAGAAACATGGTTTATAACGCTATCTGTCTCTCGTACTCAGCACTCTCGTACTCTCATTCACATGATCAGACCAACTCTCTCTGTTACCATGGAGACGAGGCTTAGCTGCATGAGACAAAGACCTGGAAAACTGATGCGTGATTTTCTCTCTCTCACACACACACACACACACACACACGCGTGCACACACACACCTCTTAAACAGCTGCAGTTTGTGTCCTTGCACTGAATGATTCATTGAATCTTTGTAAGGAGACCCTGTAAGGACACCCTTGAATCTCTCTTATAAGATCAGAGGAAATGACGTCGGTTGATGA